CCAATGTAGGCGCCAGAGTCGTTTTAATCACCAGAAATTTCACCGCGTGGCCTGCCGCGTCCATCCAGTTCTGGGTGAATGTTCCGTCTCCCCGCTTACGGTATTATGTAGCTTCAACTGTAAAGCCGAGGAGGAAGGTCCGTGTCCACGTACGTCACCCAAGAATACTTATCGGATCCTTTGACGTTCTCTGGGTTCTTATGACATGAGCCCAATTGATCAAGGGGTTCTGTTTGTAGGTGTGTAAAGGGCTCAGATCTGAGTTGACACCAATCCTTTGAGTTCTGCAACTTGGGTCTCAAAGACATGGCGTATCCTGCTCTCCGATGAGAAGCTCGTTTCAGTGTAGACTTGGGCGTATACTATTTGTGTTTCTAGTATATTTCAAAACAATAACAATAATGAGATAGTAATAGTAAAATCGATTTGAAAATTTAATTATATGCACATTGTTTAAGACCAGATGAAGGAAGGGTATGGGCCTTTATTGCCTTCAGAGAAATAAAGCGTTCTTGGGGTTTTCTCGACCAAGTCAATGGTCAAAGAGACAACATGACATATGCTAGACATGATTGATGGGCGAAATCCTCTCTACTACGGTCATTTACCACAGTACAGAATGAAAGAACAGTGATTGGATGCATTTCATCTTATTTGGTAGAACTGTGGTGGCAGAAAATAACACACTTGGGTTCGAGACCCGTTTTAGACCTAACTTTTTGTCTTCCTGTCATTTGATATTTTCTTTTCGACAGTGTTTTACATACTTTGAGTAGGTTTGGTGCTGATCGCTAGTACTTTGCTCCATTCCTGGCGCGATCTCGCTCTAGTCATTTTCACGGATGTTCCGTCTTTTTTTCTGTCATTTTCATGGCCGCAGCAAATGCTATCTCTGAATTTTTTCTGTCGAAACCTAATGCTGACGTCGATTACATATGGAAGTACAGCCTGCTTTCCATTGTTCATTGATACGCTGTTGTTTCTGAGAGTTTGTTTTGCTCCGAGGTCGTGATTCATAGCAAATTTGTTTAATTGTTAAGGGCGTTCGCAGTCCATCATTAGCCCTTCGCTTCGACCACCTTGCAAATTCAGTTTTTCATCTTTGGTCAAGAGTCTTCCCAATAACTACAGTGTAACTGATGGTAAAAGAAAATTTTGGATAGTCATAAGCAGTAACATGTGGGCGGATATCACACGCGCGTGATCCGGGATCGAATTCCGGATCGGTATCCGCTAGGGCTCATCAAGGCTTCCAAGCTTGACTTGTACATCAGGTGGTTACCGCAAGTCATTGTATATAGACACCATACACACGGCTCCGCGGCTCCGAAACCACCAGGATTCTAAATAGCAGCTGTATGCGGGGATTATCCCAAAAACGGGATGATTAATACCCATGGTGAGTTGGATATTTATCTTTTTGTTTAGTTTTTCTTTGTTTTTCATATCTTTCAAATTTCTGAACTTTAAAGCTCCTGTGCTCCTATGGAGAGGTTCAATCCTTACAGTCAACTCTAAGGAGCTCTGGCGATCAAAGAAAGAGTGAGTCAGGAGCGGCTGATGTGACAAATCATTTTGTGGTCACTTGTGTTTATACTTTTTTTGAAGATGAGGTCTGATGTGTTCGTTGCAAGCAGTTTTTGCCCCACTTCTGACTAAGCATCTGTAACGCAAGAGAGGAGGGGGGGGGGGGGGGGTANTTTTAGTGCTGATATTGGTCTTAACTTTCAAATTTATCCGGAATTGATAATAAATAGTGCGGTCAAAGTATGGCCCATGGAGTCTATAAACGTAGAAGTGGGAGTTCAAAAAATCCTCGACGCGATTTTTTTCGAAACGCTCAGAGGGAGATGTTCAACAGCCATAGGAATAGGACGGACAGGTGGTGATATGCTCCCGACTGTTATTCCCTTGAAGCTTCTGTGAGAGCGTACTTTAACGACGATCTAGGTGGAATAGAAGACTAATGCCGAAAAAAGAGAAAACCAAATCTAAATTCAAGTCATAGGGTCTTGCAAGCTTTTTAATATTCCGTGAATACACAAAATATGAATAATACTTGTGCTAGGCATGATGCCAAGATCTCTTTCCCTGGTGCGAAGGCTGAATTGACCAAGACTGGGGAACTCTTGAGCCTATCAATATCAATCAGCATATAAAGGTCATTTTAGTAGTGCCTTGTTTCTGGTATCTCAAATCGACCCACTGTCCTTCCAATGGGTCCGCTGTCTTTGATTCGGGTCCTGGCTGATAATTTAGAGTTTTGTACCTCGCAGGGACACCGTAATTTTCAGAAAAAAATAGGTGCATACCGGCATTACTGTAGCCAACACCTGAAGTAGCTTCTTAGAGTTGTCTTAGCTCTGCCAGGTCGTCACCAGGCTGGTTGGGTGACCACCAGGCGGGCAAGCCGGGACCCACCTACTGTGTGAGCTGGGTGTTCGCCCTGAGTCCTACAGTGCATCATGATATGCCTGTGTGATTCTGTTGGCATCCGAACTTTATCTTACTATGGCCTCGGAGTTTTTGTAGGTTCTTCTCTTCGTACTTCTTTCCTGTTTGCTCTTGCCCGGTTGGTTAGTTACAGCGAATAAATGGGGTCCAAATTTAAAATTAAAACCTCACTCAGCCTAACAACTCCTCCAGCAGTTCTTGTTTGTTTATTTGTTGATTTTTTTCCTTGATAGATGTCAAAAAACCCAATTCAGTTTGTTTTGTAGTGTTGTAGCGAATGTGTTTGATGAGCTAATCAAACTTTTAGTAGTGGCGTGTCTTTATGTATTCATTAGTGGGCTTGCTTTTGTTTTTTTCTAGTTCACGACACTAGTGCAAGGCGGTGTTTGAAGTGCATTCCATCCATATTGGAGTCGAACTTTTACAGAGTTGCACCGTACCATCGCAGACGTAGTTGCAAATGGATTACCATTCTCTGATCCGTCACGAAATTCTTGCCTTACCCCATACCTCCCCATTTGGTGTTTTCTTGTCTTCGCTCCTTACCTCTTCATTCCTCCAGTGCTGATGTTGTATCGTGCTCACATGTTCTGAGGTCAGGCCTGGCGCGTGGTGTAGCACAAGGTCCCACTACCTGATCAAAGAAGCCGGTGGTGGCCGCTAAGATATGAAGGGATATCTGGTATCTTAGAGGAACCTTCTCGCATGTTTTCAGTAGGTTCCGAGTTTAATTTAGTCTTCTAGTGTAAGGGCTGGGGAGCAAAATTTTCGAAGCTGGTGTTTAGGGATAGAATTTTGACTAATTAAAATCTATCCCCGCTGTAACAGACTTCGTTGAGGGTCAGACCACCCTCAGTAAGCCAATGTAAATGATGGCATCATGAGTGGACGTATGTATCCATCTTGGGAGCACTACCATTTATCACAGCAGCGATGGAGGCGCCCTCGGTTCGGTAGGGTACGAACATATGGTGGATGAATATCAGCTGACTTATTTAAGTGTTTTTACTTCTTGGAAGAAAATCAATTGCTATTTTCTCACTAAAGGTGTCCTGAGCGTAATGCTACCTGTTATCCTACTGAAAAGAACATCAGTAACGGGAAGTCTGGTCTTTTCTCTTCATTGCCTAATTATATGGTAGTCATTCGGATGTTGTCGAGGTTGGCGAAATTGGCCAACAGCTTAGAAGCACAACCATACCTCTAGTCTGTCTGTGAAGTCAGACTTGTGTAGGCTAATTCATACTTCTTCCTCAAGAGATTTTGTTGGCAGATTGCCCAAAGGATTAAAGTGTCAACCTGACAATGGGGATTTATAATCAACTCTACGCGGCTAGAAACAGAAGGTGTGTGCCACCGGTGGTGCTGTCATCTAAGAGATCGTAGTTATACATGCCTCTATACTCCACCAAACGTACGCAGAGTACTTTTTTGGGTGAAGCTCACCTTTTAGAACTGGCAGTGGCTGCCGATCTGCAACTAGCCCCTGCCGCCTTCATGTATGGGGTTTCCCTAGACTACGCACTTCTCATGCCCAATTTCTCTTTACTCGGAAGGGAATCCTCATGAGTGTCATAGGGGAAGCCGTAAAGAAGGCGGTGTCGAACAGACGACCTCCGCACCTCCTTGGCGGACCATCAGAAACTTTTCTAAGACTTTGGCATTGTTTTGAAAGTGTGAACTTGATTATTACTCAGCCTACTAACTCAGGTATTCTTGCATCACAATCAAAGAAATCACTGGTTCCTTTAGGTTCCTACCGTAATCCCACTATTACTCACTGTACTATTACTGGTAATATGCCATAAAATACAAATTACTTGCATAGTAGTATACCCTATTCTGTAACATATCCATATAGGGTTTTCGTCTTTAGTATTCCATGACCCACTGATGTTTCAGTAATCATCTCGCGTCCACGGTAAAGTCAATTCGAGGGTTCTCCCTAAAACGCTATCGTTAAACGCCCAAATACTTTGTCCTTCATTTACGTGACTACTTTGGGTACTTGTTTTTGGAAGTAATTCTCGTTTCCCTTACTTTTTTTGGTTGAAACATTGTCGTACGGTATTTCTGTTCACATCCGTTCTTTACACTGTCGGTGTCGTCGGCATCCATTGGCTGGGNGGGCCGTGCTCACTTCACTGAACGAGCCGATCGACGACGACACCATGTGACACATGACGTCACGCGATTGTTTCGGATTCGTCGATGAGCGCCAGCAAAAGAGCGAGTGCATGCCGGCAGCACTGTTGTTTTGTTCCGTTTTATCGATTTCGGAGTTTCGTCGCGCGGCGACGTCGCTCGTCGCGGGCGGACGGCGCCCTGGAAGCGCCCGACGATAGCGTCATCGAGGCGTTGGCCGTTGTCGTTGTCGTCGTCGTTGCCAATGGGGCCAGTGTTCGCCGCTTTCCGGTGCTATTTTGACGAGTCGATGTTGCTTCGTCTCTATTTTTCGTGTCGTTTGTATCGACGAATGCATTCCCTCCCTTTTAAACGCTGTATTTCAGTAACTATCGGTATTCCTCCATGGATATACAGTTATGATGATGAAACGACGAAAAGTTCGCGAAGCGACGACAACGAACTTCTATTACGATTCTGAATCGTCCTCAACCCATTGCAGTTCTTTGTTTTCATTACGGTTAGTGTAATTTTCTACTCATTTGGCTTGTTACTGCACTTTTTCCTTCAGAAATTTCAGGTTCTTTTCTATTTTGAAATGAATAGTTATTTTTTGTTTGTATTATACTTGTATTTTATTATTTGCTTTTATTCTGTCTTTCTTGGTTCTATTGTTAAGCTATTCACGGCCTGAGAGGTCTGCTTCAACTGAAGTCTTTTAATAGCTCCTGTGATTTATTACCCGCGGCCTCGAGGAATAGGAAAAAGGCGAAAGCTCTTTAACGCGATGAGATTCGTTGCTCAATTCAAACATAGATTGAAGGAATTGGGTCTCATTTTTTGTAACCGAAAACCCATTCTCCAGGAGAATGAGTTAGTCTATTTCACTTTTGGCCGTTAAGAGCCTTTCAGTCGGAAATAAAAACCATGGAAAACTGGGCGATTTTTTCTTGTTTTTGGCAGCTCACTAACCCGCTCTTATCTGCTTTCTGCACTGCTTTTTCTTCGAGTCAAACTATAGGTCTCGTATCTTTTTATGACTTCCAGAATCCTCCAATGGATTTGGTGATTAGTTTTTAAGTAAGCTTACCATACTGTTTTGTTGTGTTCATATTTACAAACTAGCATATTTTCGTGCACTCAAAAGAGGTGTCATGAACAAGAAGTCTGTCATCTTAGTCGCAGCTACCTTTGTTCGAGAAAGAGTTGTTTTAATTGAACAAAAATAAGTCTTAGCCAATTCTCCATCGTTTTGGGATAACACATGCGATTTTCTGACGTTATCGAATGTTTACCTTATGATGGGGTCCTTTTTTGCAATCGATATAAGTCTCATCAGTGCGTAGCATGACAGTCGAGCGTAGTCTACTACATTTTGCTTTAACAGAACTTCATTAAAATTTAAGATTTTGATCTACTTTTTCCAAGAAAAATTGAACAGGAATGAAGCGCTTAAATCGGAATTTTCAAATTCATTTCAAAGAGTAACGCTGGAAAAGAGTGTTTTTGGAGTCAAAATCGGAGAGCTCAAAACTCACAAAATTTCGGAGTTTGATTGAGGTAGTATGCTGTATGGATACAACTTTAGTCGGTCAGGATAATTGGCACTAAAGATCACGTTCTAGAATTACTGAAATCGGATAAATACCGTCCCTTAGGGTGTGATTATTGTTTATTGTTTCTTCTTTAATAATAATCTTTGTTTCTTTTGCCATCTTATACTAATGCGTAACCTAAATTGCACTGTTAATTCAATATGACTAAAAAGTGCTTGCTTCTAGTTTCCCAAATCGAGTGCATGTTATTTGTACTAAACCTGGAGAACATATTTCAAGTTTGAAGTTGTCGCTGTTGCTGTTCTGATTTTTCTCGATCTTTTCCATACCATGTGAAAGCAATATTCTTATCCCACTACGCGGAAAAAAGTTTGTTGTTTATCGGTTTTGAAGTAGTTTCAACTGGTGGGAACTTGCCCTGTGTAAGGTCTTGAGAACGGCGCTAAACCTTATTCTTTGCTTTCACAATTAATGCACATAAAGTTTTGCGCGAAATCCTTCACAGCAGGGATAGCTACAGTACTTCGTTTTGCTAAGGCTGATTAAGACGTGATATGAGTCTTAAAACGTTAGCAGATCCAACATTTGTGTTTAGTTAGCTTTTCGCCATGAAATGATACTTCCTTTTTTCAGGTATCTCAATGGGAATATGCTCATCCTGATCTCTATAATTGTGTTATGTCTATGCGTAAGTTATACAACTATTATCATGCCTTCTTTTTGATAGTGTCGTGAAGCACTGAGTTCGATGTTGTCGTTATTCTTGGAGCTAAGCTACTGGTTTGAAATACAGTGTAGATCATATTTCTTTCGTCTTTTCTTCATACTGTTGAAATTATACATTGCATTACTCGACCGAAACCTTCCCTTTACAATTATGAGGCAAAAATGCTTCGAACTGGTGCATAATCAGCGCCACATGCACAAATATGTGTGTGGTTGTTGGTATTTTTTAGAAGCAATTACAGGTGGTGTAAGCTCAATAGAATTTTTTGCAGATGCAAATTTCTGATGCGCTACCTGAAAGGCGCTGTGGTACGTTGGACATCCGAAATCATCCAAATCAGGGCTATAAGCTCGCTGGACATAAGTCAATTTCAAGCAATCATGTGTAAGTGGTTGCAAAATTTTGTAAAAGTACAGCAACGGTAAAGAGAAAAAAGAATGGCTTCTGTTTCAGCAATTGTAGTGTACTGGAGGGCTCGATGGTATTGTCGTTGATACAGAACTCGAATGTAACGGAGGCTGATTTTCCCATGTTCCGGCATCTCCGAGAGATCACGGGGTCGCTGTTGATTTTTCATGTCAGGTTAGTTTGTTGACATAATTTATTATTGTAGTATACTCATGTTCAGTTTGGTATGATGCTTCAGGCTTCTGATGACTTTTGGTTAATTTCTTATTTGTGCTGTTTATTTTAAGGAAATTATCAACCTTATCACGAATTTTCCCTAATCTCCGGATCATTGGCGGACAGAATCTCATTCAGCACTTCTCACTAATCATCTATCAGAATGAAGACCTTATCGATGTAAGTAGTGTTAGGCGATTTTTTGTTGTTTTGTCAATGTCTGAAAGCATATATTAGAATGTGTAGTGATAGGGAGATTAGCAAAGAATTTCAATTTAATGATGGATTAGTGTCGTGGGCATACTTTTTATTCATTTAAGCTGGCCTTGAACTGTTTCAAAGATGCTGCTTGTCGAATTTCATTTCTTAGATTTGTTTTAAAGATGGCTCTCGATAGAAAACGTAATATTTAAGTACCGAAGTAATTTTCGTTTTAGATTGGCCTAACAAAGTTGCGTCTGATCCGTAATGGTGGAGTTCGTGTTGCTGAAAACAATAAGATGTGCTATTCGCGATATATTGATTGGAAACACCTCATGGCTGGTCCTCTGAACGACATTCTTGTTGATGACTCGGTTGAAATTGGTGTCGGGGAAGGGAAGATCTGTAAGTGCTCTTTTTACGAATCCTTGAATTTTATGCGCGACTTTTTAGGGAGAGTAATCAGTTAATGAAGTCGTTTTCCCCTCGATATTTTACGTTAGGTTACACAAAACTTTATCATAAGTTTGTTTTTGTTTTGAAGCTCTATGGGATTTCAAAAACGAAAACTGTCTCCATCTTACTAGTATAATCTGATTGATATGACGCATAGACAAAATGTTTATTCTGTTATAATCACTTGGGTCGCTACTAGATCTTGTTTCAAATGACATTCCGTTATCGGTTTTGCCAATAGTTCAATTAGAAACTCGTTCGCTCATCGGAATTTATATTTGTTCTCTAAGATTTTTGTAAGAATGTTTAAATAGTTCTTGGTAATACTCATAGCTGTATAAAAAAACGTTTTTCATAATTCAGTATCTTGTACTGATGACTGTGACGTCGAGGATGAGTCTAAATGTCGACGAGTGGTACATTCACGTGGAGAGCAACTATCATGTTGGAATAAGCATACCTGTCAAGAAGGTAGGTTTCCGGTAATTTGTTTTGCTTGGGTGCTAGGCTTAAGTTAGCAGAGTACTACTCCGAAATGCCAGCTGAATAGCAATGTAGTCCTTCTGGGCTACAATCTGTTGTTTACATCTATGTAGATTCGTGACTGTATGTTTATGACCGCCTTTTTAGGAATTCATAACTCAAATGTTTTCTCTGTTAAACTATCAAAAGAGATAAGAGATTGGAGCTCTGATTGATTTTTTCTGTTGATATCGGTTATAATGCATATATAATTGTACAATTCGAATGTTTGTTCATTTTCAGATTGCCCATACGATCGTATTAATGGCAGTGTTGGTCCTGGATGCGCCGATTCAAATGGTGCTAAATGTCATGCACAATGCGTAGCCGGATGTACAGTACCGGATGATGACACTGCATGTTACGGATGCTTACATTACAACCACAACGTCAGTTTTTTAAATTTTATTTTATTCTTATCTTCCCTTCATACTTCGTGGTAGAATGGGGAGATAAAAATAAAATAATTTGATTAGGGGTATTAGTAGAATAGACATTGTTTGTGTTGCGAAACAATTAACTATTTATAGGGCGCATGTGTTGAGAAGTGCCCAAGGAATCTGTTTGTATACCTAAATCGCCGATGCATCACGGAAGCGGAATGCGATTCGTAAGTGCGCTTAGTCATAATTCAAAGGATTGGTTTTCACGTGTTCGATACTGAATGACAACTTTTTTTTGAGTTTTTTGCTTTCGCGTTCTTTGAATCCTTTTTTATTCAAAACGTATGTCATGTCGTTTTCACTTGAAATTTGGAGGAACTATATTTAGCGGTTAGTAAGTTCTTTGGAGATTGAGCAACTAATTTCGTTCCCAAGTGATCGCTCAATTAAAATAGTTATGTCCAAAAAGGCTAATTAATTTTTGGTCCTGGCTTCCATATTTGTCAGTGAGTTCTTGCGTCATGGCGTAACGCTTGGACAGCCAAGTAATTCGTTCAAACTTTACTTTTGTTTTGAACTGATATTCATTCCGTAACAAATCCAACCAGATCGGTCAAAATTCTGAATTGTTGTCTTCATTGATTTTCTATTGTGTAAAGTTATGTACAGCTGAGATAGAAGTACTTTCATTCAAATGTTCTTGCGTTGTAGGATGCCAGCACTTCGAGGGGGTAAAGACGTCCACAAGCCTGCTAATGGAGTTTGTGCAACCATCTGTCCTGAGGGAATGGAAGAAGGTAAGTTACGACGTACTTTTCCTGATCCTTTACAAAGGTGGTTCTCTCTAGATCCGTCAAACAAGAAGCGCTGTCGAAAATGCGCTGGAGAGTGTGTTCGCAAGTGTCCTGGAAACATCACTGTCGACAGCATGTCAAAGGTTGTATCCAATTTCTTGTTTATTTGCCCATCATTTTTTTTGCAGCTGACGCATACACACAGTTGCCCTTTGGTTTCGTTTACGATGGTGGTTGTTGATCTGTTTTTTAACTGTTTCGTAGTGCCTTATCTAATTTCTGTTGTGGTCATAAAAGCATAAACTTTATCGCTCTTGGGGGTTTGCTTAATTACACGAGCATCACTGAAATTCCTTGTTTTTATTTGTTTTCATTCCAGGCAATGCAATTGAAACACTGCAGCGTAATCGAGGGATATCTTGAAGTGGAGATGCGCGTTGGTATGAGTGCGGTGGCCGCCTCTCAACTGACTGGTATCTTTGGGAAGATCACGACCATAGATGGGTAATGCTTTTAATGATTTTTCAGTGTTTGGAAATAGTAGGAAGGCCCAATATTTGCCTAGAGCGTCCCGTTTAACACATTATTATACCATACTAACAGATTAGGAACCTTTTTGGAATGTTATATTCCTGCTATTTTCAGATATTTTGTTGTCCGACTCTCGCCCTCATTTGTAAATCTGCATATGTTTCGCAGTTTGACCCGGATAACAGGGCGTTCACTCTATCGTGATAAGTAAGTTATCTTTCCTATTCATTTCACGTTTCCCTTATCATGTTTATGTTTTTTTTTTGTCGCATGCCCTTGATGTATCAACTTCATTGAAGGTATGAATCGAGTAAAAGATTAGAGTAGAAACCAGGGGTAAATAATTGCATTAGGAAACACTTATAAAGTTGATACCCTGTTGTGTTTGATTGCTGGACTTCAGTGGCGGTCCTGAAATAGGCCGTCAATTAGTTTTATTAGCAAAAATAGAAGTACTATCTCGAGTGTTACATTTTCCCGATCTGTTGTCGATCTCCTTTTTATGTCGCCTTCGGCCTCGTCGCTATAGGTAAACCACACGAGCTTGCATCTTTGCAATGTAACATTACTTCTGTTTTCTCTTCTCAAACTTACTTATAAACTTATGTTATATTATAAAAGTAAACTGGAAACTCTATTTCCCATACATCTGTCTCGCGAGCGCAATGAATATTATTTAGTTTTCGTTGAGTTGGAGGAGTAGGAGCAGGTAGCTTTCCCGAAATGGAATTATATTTTAATCATTGTATATTATATTATATTTGGATGTTATGTATCTGTAAGTCATAGAGAAATTAACCTGGTTCTCATCTACGAAATATTTTACACATATTCCGGCATTATGAAATTCACTTTCTTTGAATTCAGGTATGCAATGAGCATTTTTGAGAACTCGAACTTGCAAAAGTTGTTCCCTCCTGAAAATCGTTTGGTCATTGATACTGGTTCAGTACAGGTAATTTTTCTCGATTCCAAAAAACTGCGAAGCTAATATTGTCTCGTTTCAAGCAAGATTGGTCTAATTTCAGTTTCAAAACAATCGTATGCTGTGTTATTTCCGTATCAAGGAGTTAATGGTGAAGTTAGGGCGAGAACAAGAGATGTCTGAAGAGGATCAGAGCCTCAGTTACTACAGCAACGGCGACAAAGCAATCTGTAAGTTAATTCTTAAAATGAAAGTTTTCATGGCCTTAGCTGCCAAGCAGATTGTTTTTTGCGATAAGAAGCCTTTACGTAAGCTTGTTTTCGAAGAAGGGTATTCACTGCTCAAAGCTGGTAACATACACGGGAAGCCTATCACAAGAAAAGGGATCTTAGCTTGTAACATCCTTCGAATAGGGCTAATTCGCTAGATAAATGAGTCAAACTTTAAATCGCTGCAGGTGGTTATCTTGCTCCATCCTCATACCTTTTTCCGTGTTGGTCCGAGAGAGATACAGGTAATCCTATCTTTAAGGTGAGGAATCTTCTTTCAATTTGACCGTTGTGGAGAGTGCTGTATCGCAAACGGCATTTACGTTGCGATGGCCTGCCCTCAATACTTCTGATATCGATCACAGGAAATTCCTCGGATATGACGTGAGTGTATAGTATCCATTCAGGATTTCTCATTCACTTAACAGAATTAGTAATCAGTTTACGTTGTGACATCGCCGGGAATTATATGTTCGAGAGGCGCCATGAAGGCATTTGAGTCATTGAACAAAAGTCGGCTGGCGCCAGAAGCTGAAAGGAATGTATGTGGCGTGATATGAGAAATGAGAAGGTTGTGTTCTATAGAAAACGCTCATGAGAATCACGTGCTAAAGCTCTGCAGCGCACAATCAATTTCTGCCGTTGGCTGCAGTGCAGGGGAAAACACAGTGTGTACTAAATAGTGCAGACCAAAAACGCAGTTATCTGACTTGAAAAGCGTGGAATTCCTTCTGGCTCTTTGCCATTTGATAACGTAGAAATGTGTGTAAGACATCGGTGATCGTCATAGTGCTTATCGCGTTTTATAGGACCGGCTGTTTGTATTTTGATCCCCATGGTATATTGAAAAACGAAAGTATCTGAATGTTACAGATCACTCGTTTGACGACTATCATCTCCTACTATTCCGGTTCATCACCGATTTCCTCTAACTCCATCTCCATCATTCATAGAGGGTTTTCATGAAGAAGCTCGTGTGAGAAATTCTATAGGAATAGAAGAGCGCCGACTTTCTTCCATTTCGCAGAAATTGTAAAGTCAAAAGGAGGGGGTTGTGTGAGAGTTTCAAGCTAAAAAGCGGCCGTTGAGTCATCCTCATAGCGGTCTCGAAAGTTGTAATTGGTTCATGAGGCATTTATTGGTTTTGATGTCTCATCGATTGAAATCTCTGGCTATTGAGGGTAGAATGAAGTCGAACACCATAGGAAGAGGTGCTACTGACATGCCATACTGATTTCTGTGTTCAGATCCTCTACAAAGAAGTCGCGTGGGCGGATCCGAACTTATCGATTGATGATGACAGATCTTCGTGTCAGGATACGGATTCGTGGTACTACCACTTTGAGGGGGTAAGCAAGAAAATTTATGAGTATAGTAAATTTGAATTAAATTTCGTATCCTTCCAGGTCAATGACAACATCGAACGTATCAATGGCACTGGTCCAGAATATGTCACAGCAATGATTGCGAATAGTCACATAAAGCCACATACACTGTGAGTTGGGATTTCTCTGTTTAGTTACCTTGCCCCCGTTCTCTTAGAGCTCAAATTTTTTGATAGATAGTATTTTTTGTGAGACTGCCATTTTGTGATTGCTTAATCCAGTAGGCTCCTAGAACTTTAACTGCTAACTTCATTTGGAGTCGCTTGGTACTCGGTCCCAAGAATATTGTCTTTCATAGCTGAAATCATGTCTTCGAATCCTCGGACATTCTCAATCCGATGCTTTAGATACGCTGCTTACGTCACGACAAAGATGGTCCGTCACCAAGGGGCTCGTAACGCCGTGTCCAATATCGCGTTTGTTCGAACTCGTTTCGCTGTTCCTGATCCACCACGGATCACCAAAGCCGAGGCACTCGGGACCGATGAAATTCTGTAAGTTTTATAATGCAGATTCCTGTCGAAAACGTAGACCGTAGACCTTTGCCTTTGCTCTTCTTTCTCTTGATCTTTCTACTGGACAGAGTCGCATAGTTATGATAACGATGATCCTTTGACAAGGCGATTTATTGCTTTAGTTTCAAGTTAAGGTTAACAATATTCATCCAGTCTGTTATGACCCCATCTGAAATTATTAGTTCAATTAGTTTTTCCGGCTTCCGATCGAGTATCAGTGATTCCGCAATGCGCAAGAATATCCCCTCGAAAGACCGCGAATGATTGGGTTCAATGTAAACTGCTTGTTCTGATTATTAAAATGACATACACCTTCGTCTGATAATAATTGTCAGGAGCTCTTGGTTCGACCGAAGATTAGTGTGGAAAGTCGCCAATGTTACCGTTTACTGCCGCAGAGCGGACGGGTATTCACGACGACGTTGTTTGTTTTCGCGGCTCTAATCTCTGATTAGATATATGACTACATAGAACACGAGAGGCAGAGGCACGCGTTCGGGGAATCACGGCTGCAAACAGCAACGCTTTTTCCGCGATCGAAGGAGAATTCCTTGCATCGACGGTATTTGCGAGGCACTAGCAACGAGGAATTGCAGGGAGTGCTGAAAAGAGCAAGGTACATTCATCAATGCTCGGCAGTTTTGGTGTGTTGCATCAAACAACTGTTGTGTGGCCTCGAAAAACAGTTATCAGTAGCTTATGAGCCTAGGGGAAAGCAATCGAGAAGTGGGAAATATGACATCAATTTCATGTCTCGGAAATCCTAAAATCTGAAAGACAAGGCTGCATTGGGCTGTTTAAATGGCTCGTTACATAAGCTATTGTCCAATAAATAGCAAACTCAAAGTATCCGACGAGTTTTTCTATCCACGAAAATATCCGTTTTATGCTTATAGAAGCTGGCTCACGCTCTCTGGGCAATGGTTATGGGGAACCAGGCCACCAGACAGGTGCTTGCAAAGTGTTCGTTAGGCTAACAAGAGCAGCTTGCGGTTACTGAAGATGTATTAGTTGAGTGGTGTAAATTTTGGTTAGACTGAAGCCCATCAATGGAAACGCCCGAGGTGAGAATGATGGTGAAGTCAATGTGACTCTTTATCACCTGTTCCGCTTGGCCCATGGGGATCCACCACGAAAAGCAGGGGTTGAATAGAAAGAACTCAATGTTGTGATTAGGTTAATCCTCGATTGTCAGCATTGGATGTTTCACTGAAAGGCGGTCGGCAGTTTGCGATATGTGTTCCTTCATGAAAAGTGGTATGTTGCTAGCAGCGTATTCACAAGATTGTTGAACACTGATCATACCCCAAATAGAGCTGATTTTCGCCCATCAGACAATAGAACAGCCGAAATGCCGTTAGTTACTAAGTCATTTGTTAAAGCTGAACATTTAATTTAAATTTATTGTTCGTTGTTGTCTTATGTCGCGTCAAGGCAAGGCTCTTGGTTGGAAAGTTGTTGCCGCAATAGTAAACTTGCAGTTGAAATTTCATTAGAGTTGTATATTCGAGATTTTTTTTGCATTGAAACCTGTGAAGGGCTTAAGACCTGCAATTGTAATCTTTTTGTCTACATTAATATAATTGTAGAGTGGAATGGGATCCTCCGGCACAGCCGAATGGCGATATTTCGCATTATGTGGTCAGCTGGCGTGCAATGAACGATGCGTATATGAATCAACATATGGGGGCTGCAGTTTGTCATGACGGTGCGTGATCCAACAAGGGATGTTTCAGTTTTAGTTTGAAGTCCAGACTGAACTAATGATTCTCAGATTTGACTCGAAGTCTGGATCTATCATTGGGTCTACCTGATGGTCTCCGCGAACCAACCACACCAGCGCCTCGAGCTGTGTCAGTGCTCCTTCCTGACAAGGGCGAACCTCAAAGTGATACCTGTCCGCGGAATGAAGGTTGCTGCAAGTGCGCTCCAAAGGTGGGTTATATAGCATGATTCATGGCTTTTCACTTGACTATCAAGTCATTCTTCAGTTTAGCGTATTTTCTTCAGCGGCATATTCTACCACTCAATTTAATCTAATTTTCTGCTTTTGAAAGTTGTTGAACTGGGCTTTGTTTCCAGCAATAAGAACATCCTATTAATAATGCGCAGAAAACAGTTGTGAAGTTTCCGAACTTCAGGCTGTTTCCACCGAGTTGGATGAAGGCGTTGAATCACAAACCGCGTTCGAGAATGCTGTTCACAACGTCGTTTTCGTTCAGAAGTGAGTCCTGTCTCCACTGAATGTTTTCGATGCTTTTTTTGATAGCTCTCGTTTCGTTCCTTCTTTTAGTGAACTTATGCTCATACTCATACCTCTTAAAATGCTTGTTATTAGTTAATCATGCTTTTGTGATTTTTGCGCTGCTGGTTTTATGTAATCTTTTGATGCTTCATGTAAGACTATGCTGCTCTCTATGGACTTGTTGGAATGGAAGTATTGTTTAATTCAGTTGTGCGCATAGCCACGACCCGATACGATGTGGCGGCGGTGATGAACAGCTTGATCCGCTTGAGGAAACCAATGATATGGACACTAATAGACGCTCGCCGAGGACGGCCCGTCATCATTTTCGACGCTACGGCAACGGCGGACGTCTCCTGTAGGCTATTCGTAGAGCGTTCTGGCTCATAACGTTCGTACTGCGTCGTCTGTGACTCTTTGGCTGCTCATTCTATCAGAATTTCTTTGTGTGGTGCATCGCACAGTATTGGTATCGTCTTGACGGTTCGACTGAATTCAAAGATCAAATTGGAGTGGATTTGAAACCTAAGAGTTGCCGGAGCAATTTGCGTATAAGATTGTGGATCGCTGCAGATTATGCTGCGGTCCTCAGGCTTCTCTTTATGTATTATACAGATCAGCGCACACTGTCACTGTCCTGTTAAACCGTTCTTTATAGCAAAGGGCTGGGTTCTATCTTTCTTCACTTTCAGCTTCTCCAAATGTGCTCTCTTCTACTTTTCAGTGATAGTGTTAGTGTCTCCTATCAGATGACTATCTCTCCAATTACTTGTCTATCCCACGGTATTCCATAATTGTTATAGCAAAGAAGTGGCTCGAAAACGTCGCGCTATCACCACTCCTGCGGGATCGAAAGATGGATACGGCGCCAAGTTGAGCACAAAATCTGCAGCTGCTTCTAGGAATAGCATAAATGTGAGTAGTTTTGTGTTAGTTTCTAGGTTTTCAGTCAAGATATCCTGTTTTTGAGCAATGCCAGCCAACTTGTTTTGTTAGCTCAAAATCTGGTCTGTTGGGCCAGATCAAAACCTGCAGTTAGCCCT